AAGTCTCAAACCATTGAGTACGAATTTAGTATACGATTTGATTTGAATTTTTTCACAAAATGATTGATATTTGAAGATTAAAATGAGTAGCATAAGAAAACTATTTATATATAATCATTAATGCAAACTCAATTGTAACCTTCTTTTTTCTTGGCCTGCCTAGCAACTTGCTAGGTAGTGGTCCGCTAATAATATTTGCCGGTTCTAAAAAAATTTATATATAACCATTGATTAATCACAAAAAAAAAAAAAAAAAAAAAACTTATATATTAGGGTATTTTTTCGGATTAAACCGCAATTTTGTTTTTTTCCTGAAAAAGTTCATACATCTTTTCTATTTTTTCCGATTTAGAATTTATAATTTTTATTTTCTTTATTTACCCTATAGTCCTTTACATTTTCATTTCATTTGTCGATTTAGCCTTTACATGTTTACATTTTTTTTGTATTAAACCTCGAATTTATTTATTTTTTCAAAAAAAAAAAATACATCTTTGTTATATTGGAATATTTCTTACATCTGGTTTCATAATTTCATAGCAGATATTTCCAGCTTTATGATGGTTTGGAGTAATCTAGAGAGGTGGTCATGTAAATCTATTGGTTGACGATTGGCCAAGAACATTGTAAGTTTATATAATGATATGGAAAAGTTCAACCCTAGATGCACAATGATCATCGGTTTAATCAAGGGTTATCTACATTGGTTTTTTTTTATGTTGGTTATGGCGAAAGAAAAGTAAAAGTTGTTCTTGTTGGCTTTTTTTATTTTCATTAGGGAGCCATAGGGTTCTATGATGGATAGTGAGAAAGACAATAAAAGAATGAGGATAGCATCCATTGGCGAGAAGAGAAAAAGAGGAGGGGTTGTTCTTCTTCTATCAATAAACCTTATGGCTCCTAATAAAAATAACATTTGAGATCATATTGATGATTGTTACACATCTTGGGTTGAATTTTTCTAAATGATTACATGCGCTAACAACGTTCTTCATCACATCATGATGTCACGTGGAAAAGAAATTTATGCAATTGTCAAGCAATAGAGTTACAACACAATCTCTTTAGATTTACTCCAAACCATCATGAAGCTAGGAGCATCTAACATGGAATTGTGGAACCGAATACAAGAAAACTTTCAAAATAAAAAAGATGTAAAGAGTTTTTTGGGGAAAAAATTTTTGTGAGATTTAATCTGAAAAAATGAAATATATATATATATATATATATATATATATATATATATATATATATATATATATATATATAAATTGTAAGAGCTAGATTGAGAAAAATAGAGAAAATGTAAGGGCATTTTCAAAAGAAAAAAAAATAAAGTTCAAGTTTAATTTGAATATATATATATATATATATATATATATATATATATATATATCTTTTGATAAATAGTTTTTTTTACATAGAAATAATTATTAGATTTTATGATTAATTGCTATGTAATAAAAAAAATTACTACTTTAAATAAAATAATTATGTTTAGATCTTATATTTATATTGTCAGCTTTTAAATTTGATGTAATTATATAATATCAGTGTCTAGTTTAATTAATATAAATTAATTTATATATATGAATTTAATATTTTAAAATTGTCATTTTGCTTTAAATTAAATTTCTTAATAACCTTCCTTAATTCGTGATTTTAAACTTTTGACAAGTATTAATGATATAATTTTATATAATTTATTTGTACAAAACCTTTGTATTTTGTACCTCTTAAATTTAAGATATATATATATATATATATATATATATATATATATATATATATATATATATATATATATATATATATATGGCTTAGTCGTTGCTTTTAAAAAAAATCGTTAAATTTTTTTTTTAGCCTAGATATGGCTTAGTCAATGCTTTTGAAGACTAATAATGGTCTTTGTTTTGAAGAATGATGAGCAGTTTAGGAGTTCTTTCTCAAGAACTTAACCATATTCAATATTTAATAAACTAAAAAAATAAGAAGAGAGAAAATTAGAGGGATTAGAAAGAGGTCAGATAGTTCAATCCTGCAAACCCCAAAAATGAGTGCCTCTTAAACTTGTGCTATATGTGGAAAAAAATTCTTGAAAATCTCTATGGGGGTTGGGTTTATCCTTTAAATGAGCTCAAACCCGGGATACTTGTTGAAATATGCGAAAAAGCTTCCGTTGAATAATTTGACATTTCCAAACAAAAATAAAAAATAAAAAGAGAGAGAGAGGGAAACATTATGTAAAGTTGAGAGCAATTGAGATGCAAGGCTTAAGGTGTAATTTATAAGATGCCGTTGACAAAATTAAAAAAGAAATTGGGTATGTACTGGTGTGATGTGAAGATGATGTACGTATATAATTATTTTTTTATTAATTATTATGACCAACCAGTTGTACAGCTTTCTGACAAAAACCGAAGTGAGGCAAACCTTATTATATAATATATATTATTATCTTAAAAGTTAAAAAATAGCTCCAACTTCTGGCATGCCTATATAAATACTTCTCCTCCTCGTGGGTTCTCAAATACATTCCAGCATTTGCTTCTCTCACACACATTCATCATTCCTCATTCCTCATTCCCATTCCCAACTCCTTAAATCTCTCATTCCTTTCCTTTCCTTTTTTTTGGGATTCTTAGCAACCAATTAAGTTAAGTAAGCATGTGGGGTCTTGCTCTTACAGCCATGGTTGTGGTGGGCATTACTCATTGGCTTTACAGATGGTGGAATCCTAAATGCAACGGGAATCTCCCCCCGGGTTCCATGGGTTGGCCATTACTTGGTGAAACCCTTCACTTCTTCGCTCCTAATCCAACCTGGGATACACCTCCCTTTGTCAAAGAGAGGATCAAAAGGTGATCGTATCTCTCTATATTACATTATTACATATTATTTTATCCCTCCTAATCATTGAATTCTCACATTAAGTAATGATATTTCAGATATGGGTCAATATTCCGAACTAGTTTGGTTGGGAGGCCGGTTGTAGTCTCAACTGATTCAGATCTTAATTATATCATCTTCCAGCAAGAAGGCCAGTTGTTTCAAAGCTGGTATCCAGATAGCTTTACCGAAGTTTTTGGGAGACAGAATGTAGGATCTTTGCATGGATATATGTACAAATATCTTAAGAACATGGTCTTATATTTATTTGGTCCTGAAAGTCTCAAAAAGATGCTTCAAGAAGTAGAACACGTGGCAGCTACAAACTTACAGAAATGGGCTGCCCAGGATTCGGTGGAATTGAAGGAAGCAACTGCAAATGTAATGAATTAAGGCCTTCTCATGTAACAATATATAAACTTTTTTTTTTTTTTTTCTAATATATCAACTTTTTGTGTGTAGATGATATTTGATCTGACTGCAAAAAAGTTGATAAGTTATGATCCCGAGAAATCATCCGAGAATCTGAGGGAGAATTTTGTAGCTTTTATACAGGGATTGATCTCCTTCCCTTTGGACATTCCTGGAACAGCTTACCACAAGTGTCTAGAGGTACGTACACACAAATTAATTAAATCTGATTTCTTTTTATATACTATAATTTCTGCTAATTTATTAATTAATGATATAACCAGGGAAGAAGAAAGGCAATGACGATGCTGAAGAGCATGCTAGAAGAGAGGCGAGCCAAGCCAAGAGAGGTGAAAAGTGATTTCTTCGATTACTTACTTGAAGAACTTGAAAGAGGTGATTCCATACTTACAGAAGCAATCGCCTTGGATTTGATGTTTGTGCTATTGTTTGCGAGCTTTGAAACAACTTCTCTCGCCATAACAGTAGCTGTTAAGCTTCTGAAAGAGAATCCTCGTGTATTGCAGGCATTAACGGTAACTATACAAACATTTAGTATTTTTACTTTTTTACCTTTTAAATATATTTTAGTTATAAAACCCCCCTAATTAATTAATTACCTGATTTTGCAGGAAGAGCATGAGAGTATCCTAAGAAACAGGGAAAATACAGAGTCCGGACTTACATGGAAAGAATATAAGTCCATGACGTTCACGTTTCAGCTTATAAACGAAACAGTGCGTCTGGCTAACATAGTTCCAGGGGTATTCAGGAAAGCACTTAAAGATATCAAGTTCAAAGGTACACATTCAGACATGCATATCTGTGATCGATCTACTCATCTTATAAACTGTTTTAAATTTTAAATAATAAACTTTGTGAGTGCGTGTTTTAAAAACGACATGGATGTTGATTTTTGATACATGCAGACTATACAATTCCCGCTGGTTGGGCAGTAATGGTATGTCCTCCAGCCGTCCACTTAAACCCGGACAATTATAAAGATCCGCTGGAATTCAATCCATGGAGATGGGAGGTATGCGTATGCCATTTGCCATGAGTCTTACTTTTCAATCATGCATGATGAAATTAAATAGATAAAAAAAAAATGTTTATATTTAATCATGTATTGCCAAACAGAGGATGGATCAGAAAGGTGCATCAAAGAACTTTATGGCTTTTGGTGGTGGCATGAGGTTTTGTGTTGGAACTGATTTCACTAAACTACAGATGGCTGTGTTTCTTCACTGCTTAGTCACCAAATACAGGTAAAAACTCATCATACATGTGTGTGTGTGTATGAGAGAGAGAGATAGAGATGTGAACTAACATGATTTTCTGCTAAAAATTTGCAGGTGGCAACTTGTGGGGGGAGGAGAAATTGTACGAACGCCTGGTTTACAGTTTCCAAAGGGGTTTCATGTTGAGATCACAGAGAAAGACAAACAGAATCAAGAATCTGATACTAATCCAAGACAATAGGATCCCTGTTGTAAAACAATCACCAACTTCCTGAAAATGTATGTGAGTAAGCTGAGGAAAATTTTGCTCAGGGGCATGTCAAGCACAATGCTTAGAAAATGTAAAAGTTTACAGAAGCAAGAAATGAAAAATGTACAATGTTCTAACACTTGTAATATACAAATTTTTTTACTCAAATCCTTAATTAAGAGCCAAAAAGCAAACACGTAAATTCATTACAACAAACAAGAAAGAGTTGGTTCATGGTATCGAATTCCTTCTCTTATGCTTATGGTGTTTGGCTTTGTCTTTGTCATGCCTTGGAATATGTTTGTCCTTATGATGTTCCTTGAGTATCTCATCACCATGTCTGTGTTTTTCTTTCTTAACATGGTGAAGATGATCATGGTCAAAATGATTGTGGCTGTGGTGGTGTTGGTGTTGGTGTTGGTGTTCCAGATATTTGATTTTTCCCTTTTTATGAGCATGAGCCTTATGGTGTTTTGGATCCTTCTCCTTCTTATGATGTTTCTTATAATGGAGTTGCAAGTTTCTAATATGTTGGGCTTTTCGATCATCATCCCAAAAATGGTCTTCCCACCAGTCATACACAGGATCAAAAACTCCGTTCTCATGTAGAAGCCACAGTAGGACAATCACTGCAACTCAAGAAAAATAGAGTTGAATATTTACTCAAAATTGATTCCCAATAAAGTCAAAAGCGTAATTACCTGTGGGAAAGATTGCAAAAACCGAACCAAACATCAACACCCATTTCAGACAGAGATAATGGATATGGCACTGAAAGTCAAAAAGCCCAGAGCATTTTGTACTGCCAACATAGATAGATAGATAAAAAGCATCAAGTGTTACTGAATGATCCTGGTTTTTCATTTTAAGTAAATATTCAATTGGTAGAAGAGAAATATAACCTGCAAGCTTTTCCAGCGATAAATTCAATCATACTATGCCAAAGCTTGAAAAACATATCCTCAATAGATTCAAAGAAACCTTGTAAACCATGCTTTGGTGGTTCCCATGGAATCTGGAAGATAATAAATATTGTCAAACCAAACCAAACCAAACCAAATCCTTGATTTATCAATAATTTAATTTGGCATACCACTGATCCATTGTCCAGAATTGTGGCTGTTGTTGTAAACTGGCACTCTGCTCTATCAGCTTCTTGAAAATCAGAATCCTTCAGTATAGCTGCTTGCACAATATATAACATTAGATTGTGTTTTAATTTTTAAGTAAGCAATGCATGATTTTAAGGAAAGAAATAATATATGTTGAGAAAAATGATGAACCCGTCCCTACCTGAACATGCATACCTTGCAGCCTGATCAGACATCGGGTACACCTTAAAAGATCTGGTTGCCATTTCTTTTGGCTTCAAAATGAAAAATTGTTCCTGCATAAAACAAAAATAACATTGAAAATCATTTACTTTACCAATATTTCATTTCATATTACAAAATAAATGGCTTATTATACCTCCATCTGGCTGATACCTATGGAGCAATCAAACTGCAAAGATTGAAAGAGTAAAAAGTAAATACATAGAGTTGTTATTAAGTTGGATAAATCATAAATAAAATGTTTCCTAGAATACCGTTAAGCTATACGATGCTTCCACTTCACCAATATTTCTAGCTGTGATTGTGGCAGTCCCGAACTGAGTAAGAGCCTCAAAATTTGGGATTGTGATTCTTTCAATTTTTCCAGGGCTCCTACAAACAATATACAGTATAAAAACAAAGGTAGATATATATATATATATATGCATTTAACAAGAGCTAGTATCGACCTTTGGTACACAAATTCTATGTCATCAGCACTAAGTTCTATCAAAAGGTTTGAATTAAGAACTTCAGTGATCCCAATTGAGAACGATTGACTTCCTGCATTCTGCATCAATAATACAAAACATGAGAGGGAATTATTTTATTATAGAAATTTAAAAACATTGAAACCATACTGGATGTTGATTGATTCTTTCAAATCTCCCTTGCACACCATAAAGAGGAACCAGGTTTCGTTGGATTCGGTTCTGGTCAGCCTGTGACAAAAAAAAAATAATAATAATAATAATAAGTCAAGAAATACAGTATGATTATATTTGTAATACCATAATCTAAAAACAGTAATGAAGGGATTCAGGGAAGATTAATATTTTATATACTCACTTCCCAAAAGTTCCACAACTGATTTTGCAGACAAGCCCAAAAAGGAGCAGAACAGAAATTTGGCTGGTTATTAAAAGCATCATAACCGACACCAATTTTATTACATTCATTTCCATCTAATGTGAATCTGACTCTCTCAAGAAGCATCCACATAGAAATGTTCCTTCCTAAATCTTGTGGTTGACCTGGGCTACCCTTGATCAACAATTAAAACAAACACAGCCACCCATAAAATGATCAACAAGTAACATAAGCTTTTATTTTACAAACATTGCATGCATTATATTTATACCTGTCTTGGAACAACAAGAAAGAAATTCTCAAAAGAAGGTATGTCATTGTATCCAACATAGTCCCCAATTAAATTCGCCCTCAAAAAGTTATCACTTGACAGGGCTGTTCTATTCCCAGGACTGATAACTAATTCCTGTTAGAACAGAGTAAGTTGTGAAACATACAAAATCATCCCTACACATAGTTAAGTTATGTGGTGAAGGAAACCAGACACATACAGAGACTTTAGACCCTGTTTTGACTTTAACCCTTATGGTGAATCCTATTGAATGCTGCCCAATTCCAAACACATGGAACCTAACAAGACACCAGAAACTAGTATGAAAGAAACAGCATAGGGAAAATATCAGAAGAATCAGTAGAAAGTAGAAAAAGATGTGAAAAGAATATCAGACTCCATACCAATCACCTGGAAAACGAAGGCAGTGTGCAGTGTTGGCCTTCCCTTTGGTCAGCTTATCAACTGTTAAAATAAATAAATAAATAAATAAAGATATGATATTAGCAGCAACATACAGATACAGTGAGAATTTACAGTAATTAGATTGACAGGACTTACAAAAATTTCCACATGATGAAGGCACCCTACGGTGACCCCCACAAGGACAACAAATTGGCTATCCGATGATTCAGAAAATAAGAATAAAAGAAGATGAAGTTTTGATCAGAAATGATGTCTCAGAAGATATAAGTATCATAATCAGAGCTTAAAACAAGTTCAAGATCACTAAAACAATGATGAACATGATATGATGCTCATACATGTTCCTAAAAAAAGAGGATATTCCCAATATATTACCCGGGTGTTCTCAATTGCATGTCCTTGCTCATCGTATAACCTGAGTCACACATTAACCGGTCAAATTTCAAGTCAATTGTACATATACTTGAGCTATAGCATGAAAAGAATACAGTGCTAAATTGCCAAAAGAGAACACATACATGCATACATGCACAAAAGTGAGTGCCTCTATCCAAGTATGGACTTAAAACCTAAAAGATGAAGGTCAAACATTGTACTACTTACGTCTCACACATGCCCACAACATTAGCACCAGCATAACGACTACACTTGCGTGTCTTAAAAGACAGCTCTAGAGGTTTATAAGGAACATCCTGCAAATAGAACGTGATTCAGATTTTAAACATAAAAGATCGAGAAATTCAGAAGGAAGAGGTTTTCAATATTTAAGGAATGTTATCAATTGCCAGCTGATCTCCATCAAACTGAAAGCTGGTTAAAGCAGTTTATCCCATCCTGAACATTCTGGAGTTTTGCTAATCTCTCTCTGATGATGATGGTATACATACAATGCTTGCTTCAGACAGTATATAATGATACTCGTATGAATTAATTTAATGGTTGCATTGAAGTATAAATTCATGGATTTGGGGATAGTGCATATTTTATAGACACCAACGTCTCAGTTTGACCCACACAAATTGAAGCTTAAGAGCATGACCTGATACAAGCTCTAATAAGCTCTGTAAACCTAGATTGGGCCTGGAAAAAGAGAAAACAAATTGTTGCTGCAGAAGAGAGTTTGTATACTTAGGACCTTATTTTCAGGGAATACAATTCTTATTGATCTTAAATGGTGAAGTGATCGCAAATATGAGGGGTTTGGCCTAGGCAAGTAAACAGAGGGACATATTTTATACAATTCCTACTACGTAAATGAACTGCAATCATGGCTATAACTATAATAATTTTATCGCACCAAGTCACAATGAAAAAGAAGAATGCGCCTGTAGATACGACATGAAATAAAGTAACATGAACTCGATTCAATGAAAAAGAAACCCTACGCTAACCCGAAGCAAGTTCTGAAATACATACTCTAATGTACGTCAAGTGATATTGCGCATAGGCGGCAGACTTATTGACAGTGATCACCGGCGGTTCTCGAACAGTTCTCATGTTATCAGTCGATTTTTCCTCCACCTCCACCACTTCGGCCACAATCGACGCTTCGTTGCCACTCTAAAACAAAGGAAAACAAAAATCAAGCATGAATCGGCCTGAAAGACGCACCACACAGATCGAATCACCCACAGGAACACTTACTGCTTCACTAGGAACAGCCAAATTGATGACGATTTTTTTGGTGCAGTTAAGAGGAGCATTTTCAGAAACCTTTTCGCATTTTTCAAGCTTCGATTTGGAGAGAAGTTGGACACCGCCATTGACGAGATGATAAGAGATAAATAGAAAGAAGACGACGATCGTTATGCATGGTCTCATTTCGGTGAATATGAGTGTGAAGTGTGCGAAACCCTTCTGAGAATGAAGGAGATAAAGTGGGGCTGCTATGGCGGGTGTAACTGCCTCTGCTTTAAGCAGTTGAGTTTTTCGAAAATCAGAGCGCCAGTCCACCGATCAGTGAAAATAATTAAATAATAATTTACGTCAAAACTTTTCTGGGTATTAACTTTAATTCGATATCATATCATATAAAAATAATATGGAAATTCATCGGTTTTTAATAAATAAAACTAAAACATGAGTAACAAAATCATGCATCGATGCTTATATTATACGCGTCCCTTTTGTTTACTCAAAAGTTTTCTTTTTTCATAAGTACACAAATTTTATTTTATTTTATTTTTTTACCACCAAACACGTAGCAATCAATTAAAAATACTTTAGACATTTATCATTTCTAGTGATTATTTGGATGACCTTCATATGTTTATCCTAAAATTCCTTTAACAAAAACCCTTGCAAATATCACATCACATGTAATTTACCTTTTCACCTCATTTTTATTAATAAAATTCAAATCATATAACATTACTTTAAAACAAAATAAACTTGAGACGTTTTGTCATTATATGAATTTGTACTTTAATATTAGAATTCCTTAAATCAGTTTTCATTACAAGTGATGTACAACCAAATATCGTATCCTAACCAGTAACTACGTATCAAAAATACAAAAATTTACACAACCAGAAAACAAGAATTAAGAATATTGAACCAAAGTTTTCATCATATTAACATCAACCAGATACTAAGCAGTCATAAAACCATATCACGTCTGTCTTCACCGGTTATCACATCGCCATTTGGAAGTAGGAACACAGCTCAAGTAATGGCACCAGCTGCAGTGATCATTCCCATTTTCTCCCTTGAAAAGCATCACAAGTCCCACCGTAAATCTGCTCCCAATAAAAAATAATTTAATCACTGTAGACAATAATCGATAAAATGATGTGAAGTGTATAGTTGTTGAAGAGAAAGCTTGCTTACCCAACAATCAATAAAATGGCAGATATAATCCAAAAGACATATTGATAGACGGTGTACTTGGACTTGCCACGAGCATCAGCAGGAAGACGGCGGCGTTCTTGCCATGAAAATTGGGGTCTCATAAGCAGTACAAATCCAAGGAGGAAACCCGTTAAAAACCCCCCGATATGTGCAAAGTTGTCAACATGAGGAAGCATTCCAACTGCTAAATTCACCAAGATTATGATCACAAGTGTAAACAAAGCCGCCGCCTACAAAAACAAAACACACGTCAGATTCCAAATTGACATCAGTCCCAGTCCCAGTCCCAGTCAAACACAGTACAACTTGCTATGTTTTGTCCTGCGTAACAAATTACAAATCATGTATATAATGAGTTTACGCACCTTATTAGCATAAATAGTCCAATTGGTAAGAAGCTCGGACAACATAGCTCCAAGAAGTCCAAATAGAGCACCGGAAGCCCCAACGGAGATGTTGCTTGTTATGAAAAGTGCAGATAGTGTGCTACCACCGATCCCGGCCAACATGTAGAGTACACCAACTCGAACTGTAATATATTTATACATGTTTAATGAATAATTAGTAGGTAAAAAAATTATATAAAAGTTTTTTTTTTTTAATGAGATATGTCTTTAACTAAAGGGACTTAAAGATGTACCGAAACCAAATTGTTGTTCGAGGCGAATCCCGATGAAAACCAAGCTTAACATGTTTGCAAGTAGATGAACGACTCCCGCATGCAACCAAATACAAGATATGAGTCTCCATGCTTCATGTCCATTCACCACCTTACTCCGCTCTAGAGCTCCCAACTTTTCCAATCTATAATTCAATCAAACCGATCATAAATAAACATGCCATGAATGAGAATAAACTGAGATATTGATTATGCTACGAAATAAATATATGTAAAGTGGACGAATAGAACTGATTGTATTGCGTTTGGTGTGCATTGGACTAAGACTGTCACTTTTGTCAATGGATAAAAAAGATGGGACAGAGACAGAGACTCGCTCTTGATCTCTCATATGTGCAAAAGACGTCAATGCCCCCTCATCCTCATTATTGAGAATAACCCTAACAAACTACAAGCCTGACCTTAAAGGCCAAAGCCAGATCATAAACAAAAAGTAGATCACAAAAGAAAACCTTAATTAAGTAGAAAAGCTTCCATTAAGGCCAAATCATAAAGAACAGGTATCTTTGACATGATAATGCTTTATATGGGTACGATAAAAAAAAAATTCCATAAAGAATATAATCTAGAGTCATCATTTTAAATGAAAAAAAAAAAAAAAAAAACACCAAGATCATAATAAAGAATAACCTTTTATATCATTGAGTATTGGGTATGTAAGGAAAATTTCCCATGTCAACCAAATAGCTCCAAATAATCAATTAACACAACCATGATGAGTTCATAAAGTAGAATATTCCCAAATTATAATCAAGAATCATCATGTTACTGGAAAGCCCTAAATCAATCAAGAATCAGCTTTTTACATAAATTAGCTGAATGGGCTGGTATGCAAGAGAAACATCCAATCCCAGATCACAATCAAGAATCATAATTTACAGAATTGCTCTAAATGAATCAAAGTTTAGGCTTGACATGACTTAACTAAATGGGTATAGAAAAAAAAAAGATTCAAGTGTCAACCAAAAGAGCTTAGGTTTTCAATAAACATAAGAACCCTAATGAGGGGGTATATATAAAAGAAGAAAATTCCCAAATCATAAAACACAGAATGATAAAAACATCAAATGGGCACAAGTGAGAAACACTTACGTGGAAGAAGAAGGACCGAAAAGCGGGTTCTCTTTAAGAGGCTGAAAAGATAGTCTACCAAGAAATTTAGCAACACAATCCCCCTCAAGACTCGAATTGTGGTTCTTGGGACAATCATTAACAATCATGACGACAAGAAACATAGCCACATTTGCAACAACAATCATAGGAACGAGCCATGAAGTCCATTGTTTGTCCGATGATTCAGTGTGATATGTAGAAGACGCCGGCGGTGGTGCCGGTGGTGGTGCACCTCTGTTCTTTGTACTTCCCCAGCTCTCCAGATCTCCATTACCCATCTGTATTGATTCGTTTGTTGGAAGGTAGGATATTATTGCTTAAAATTAAATCAAACGAGTATATGTCAACTGTAATCGTGTATGTATATATATATATATACAAAGTGTTTAGGAAGTAACTTAGAAGGAATGGAAGAAAGAGAGATTGCAAACGGGTGGTGGATTGGATTCACATTTCACAGTGGGGTAGCTTGTCTGTCGATTTCATGTTAGGTGATCCGCTGCTAATACGCGTAACGCCTTACCGGTTCACTCGTTTCGCGTTTTCTAATTGTAATTTGCACGTAAATAAGTTCCTTTTAACAAAACAAATTAAACATCTTGTATTTTTATTTTTGTAAAATAAATAAGGACTATATGTCTATATTTCATTTACTTTAAAATGTTTGATAAATCAATGATTTCGGAAAATATTGGCATTGACTTTGTAAATTAACGGTTGCATAAAGTATAGACAATGAGTGCAAGTAATAAAAAGGTTTTAACAATTGAATATATAATTCATGGTGGTTTGCCTATGTTTCTAATTCATTAATTATTGGCATCTCAGTTTTTTTTTATCTTTTTCAATCCGTAACACATGAAAATAATATATTTTTCAACTCATTCAATTGAAAACATACAAAACAATATATATATATATATATATATATATATATATATATATATACTAGCAGCGTACCCGCGCAAAGCGGCGGGGTGTGTAAATTTTTTCGGTGATATGTTTCCTCTACAAAAATGTTATGTTACAAAAGAAAGTACATGTCGAAGACAAAATAATCAAACTATGATGTTATTTGGGAGATGAAGTCATTTTTTATTCCTAGACGGTGGGCTTTATAGCAGACGAGGGAACAAAGAGGTATCTGCGATTGGAGGGATATTTAAATTAACATGCTAAATTTAAGGATATCGAAAAGGGTTCAAAATTTGAATGAATCCGAGATTTGAGGGACCATATCAAATTGCTGAGAAATATAAGGAGATTTGATGATAAATATTTGAATTCAAAATGTGGTTAAAATTTAATATTATTTTATTAATGGCTAGTTGTACTATCAGCTTCATCATTTGGACGTCTTAAAAAAATATTATTATTATAATCAATCTATTTTTAGAAATAGTTAGATTTCTTTTATAAGATAGTAAAGATATATATATATATATATATATATATATATATATATATATATATATATATATATATATATATATATATATATAAGTTCTTAAGCCTATAGTACAAGAGAGAAGGGAAGAGAGGAATATATGAAATCGAGTTGGATAGTGGATACGCTAAATGAAATATATGTAAAGTATCACTATTGGATGGGCAATGATCTTAAAGTTTCTACAATAAAAAGAAACAAATAAATAAATAAAAGTAAATTAAATCGCCTGGATAGAAGCTTAAGTGATGTTTTTTTTTGTAAAATGTTCATGAATGAATTGAAATTGAAGTCGAAAAAGGAATATGTTACGAATTTTATTTGTTTGGTTGATAGGAAAATGGTTTAGAAACGGAATTCCATACAAAAAAGTATATGTTCCATAGGCCGTTCATATATTGGGTTTACCATTTAAAAAAATTATTTGTAGGATTCATAATAAGTTTTGTTAAAAAAAATTGAGATTTTTGGTTTGTTAAGTGGCGATAACTTATCACGAAAAAAATTATTGAAAAGGCGCTCATATTTGGATGTTCTTACGGCATCTACAATAGGTTGTAAAAGAATAAAAAACCCAAAAATCAAACAGAAGAGTTTGGTTTGTCGTTTTTAGAAAAAAAATGAATTTTGAATATAAAATACCGAAGCAAAATATCCAAAATTATGGCGTTTTATGTATACGTTTAATTGACTAAATACATTATAACCATTATTCATTTATAGTATTTACTGAAAATTATAATAATAAACATACATTATATCATCTCGTATTAATTTTTCGTAAAAAAAATAATTAAAAAAAAAAAATTCTTAAATTTTAGTAGCATGGTTAACAAAGAAAAAAAAAAAGTCAGTTTGGTTTTTCAAACTCAAAAAACGAGTTTTTGGGTTGTAAATAAGGTTATTTATTTATTTCAATAACCTATTGGATCAAATAACGTTTGATAACCGTAGAACCCTATTGTGCAGACTTCCTTAATATTGATTGTAAATTTACAAGGTTGTGCATCGAGTTTTTTCATATTTTTATAAATATTATATTCATATGTTTTATAAATTTTTATTGGTAAGATTATAAATAAGCTTTGTAAAAAAAATCCCTAACTGTTGATGTTTGTTTAGCCTTCTGGTTTGTAGGCATGTCAAAGGTCAATTGTGCATGTGACTAAAAACTTATTCAGAAAACTTCCTGTCGTGGATATTTGTTTATCTTTTGGTTATTCAAGTTAATTATGTTTAAGCATGAAGTTAGGTAGAACTATATGCTTTGAAGATCCTTCATAGACCAAATAAGTTTTGGCGTACGTATGAATTACGTTAGCCCGATCACAAAGTAACAAAGAACATGTTTGATGTTCCTGTCCATTCTTAAAAAAAGCAAGCATGCAATTTTTATATAGTAACCAAATTTTCCTAGTAATTATAAAAACGATAACAAACTTTCGTTAATTAAAACAAAGCACATGATATATCTTTTTTTTTAAATCATGGAGTGGATTATGAATCCAGTTGTGATAAACATACTAAATATTAAATAAATAAATAACCTTGTTTCGATTAAGCATTTTAATTGGTTTGGAAAATTAAATTAAATTAACTCTCAATCAAGTTTGATCTTGACAAACATGGTATAGATTTGGATACCCTTTAGTGTGTTACTTGTGACTTGTGCACTACCACATTGGACCATATATACATTATTGACATGTAGTCTTATAATTGATATTTGCTCTCAATTGGCGAAGTTGTGTTGTTTTGACGTGACGAACTTTATCATTTACGAGTACTTGTTCAAATCACTTAAGGATGACTACCTTTCATAAATAAAATAAAAATAAATAAAAAAATAAAAAATAAATAAAAAGTGTCTTGAGGCTGTGAATCTTACGATTTTTGTACGATTTGAAAGTTTTACAACATAATTTTTGATATGACTAAACGAGAAAATACAACTATTTTTTATTTATAATTACGTATTTTTATTTTGGTTTTACAATAGGAGTAACAATTTAGACTCAAAAGTAATTAAGTATGGCTTCAAAACTTAATATTATTATAAGTTTTATGTAATTATATCATGTTGTGCCTATCATCTTGCTAGGCTTTTAATGTAATTATATTGTGCCTAATGCCTATCATCTTGCTATGCTTTTAACGTAACTCTCCTGTTCCAAAAAAAAAAAAAAAAAAAACTAAAAAAAGTATGCATTAATTTTTTGAGCTTTTTCTAGAATATGAAATTATATTATTTTTTGTGATATTCATTAAATAACTATATCTTGTAACATTATATCAGAAAATAACCATATTTTTTTGATAGCATAAATGGCCACCAAATTGGACAATGAGTTGTCAAACTCAATTATTATTTTCACAATTCATCCACAACTTTGGAAATCTTGTACCAAATTTCTCTGTGTATTCCATGTAAACTCTTCTATACAAATGACATGTTCCCCTCGATGGGAATCTAATTATACCTTTGAATAACAAGCAAGCTAATTGTAGGGAAATATATTACTAATGAACAAAAACAAACAGGAGATCTCTTACAGGTTAACTGGTTGCAACACTTGATCCTATTTAAAAACATACCAACCATCAACAAAACGAAGAGGAAAAAAAAATGAAAATTAAGATCTCTTAAAGATGTCAGAAAAAGTGTCAAATAAAAAAAAAAAATAGAGAGTACATGAAAGCAAGCTTTTTTTTGTCAATGCCTTGCTCTTATGCTGCTTTAGCTGTAATACAAGCAATAGAGAGCTTTGAAAGCAGACCACATAGTTGAAGATATGAACCAACTCCCTCACATATCCTCATATGTGCAAATCCAGTTTCCTACAATTTTTTATATTTAATAAACAACGTTTTTTAACCTTTTTTTTATTATAAGATTAAAGTTGTTACCTTCATGAATTCCAGTTTCAGATACTCTGCCATGTCATAATTCTTTATGATTCTGAAAAGGGTAGTGATGATATCAGTTGGTGAATATCCCAAATCATAAAGCTGCTTCAGACCAGAACAAGCATCATCAAATTTTCCTTCTACAACATTCCGGACCATATTTTTCACATGCAAAGGGTGAGGCTGATCACACACCTGAAAACCCAATTAAAAAAAAAAGCATAATTTTTAATTGACATTTTTAAAAGCAGCAAATATGATTATTTGAATTTGTGACCTTAAAAACATTTTCTTGATTAACAAATCGAAATCCAGTATAAGTTGCTTGTAAATTATTCAAAGCCTGTCGCATATCACCATCAGCAGTAAAAATAATTGCTTCAAGCCCTTCTGGGACATATGCCACCTACATTAGTAAAGTGATAATATCAGTAGGGGTAGAATTGGAAAACATTTTTAAAGTAATAAAAGTGTTACCTACCTTTTCTGCATCAACCACAACCATGAGACGACCAAGGATTTCTTGATCAGATAACCTGGAAAATCGCACAAGGGCACATCTACTCTGAATGGGTTCAATTATTTTTGCTGATGTGTTGCATGCAAGGGCAAAACGGGTAGAGTTTGAATATATTTCCATTGTTCTCCTCAGTGCTTGTTGTGCTCCAGATGTCATGCTGAATCGATGATCCCCAAATTGAAGGGTTAAAATGCAGCCTATGACAGAATAATATAAAAAATGATGTTGACAGATGAAACCCTAGAACAAGATACCTGTCAGCTTCATCCAAAATGATTACTTTGTGCCTTCCAGGGGGTAGAGTCACTTTCTTCTGTGCAAACATCTTAATTTTATTCCTCACAACATCAATACCTCTGAAAGGAAAAATGAAAAAGAATGGTGAGATTGAAAGATAGGGATATAAAGCAGAATTAGCACAAAATGCAGACCTGTCATCTGAGGCATTAAGCTCTAAAACTCCCTCTTTGTAATTTGGTCCAAGTAACTCATGAGCAAGAGCTAATATGCTTGTGGTCTTACCTGTTCCAGGTGGACCCTGAAAATGCATAAACAGAGTTATGCTCAAGAAAATATATTACTCAATCAAGATAAACGATGCATGTGTCCACACTACACTATGTACAAATCACTCTACTATCAATCTTTAATGATTGGATTAGTAAATGCATGACTGAAAAATCAATGGAGTATACTT